CTGCAGGCCGGGCCGCCCTGCATGGAGCGCGTGTGGCTCTCCCTGAGCTCCCTGGCCGACCCCCGGAGCGTCTTCACCGTCTGCTTCCCGCTCGCCTTCTTCCTCGACCGCGCCGTGGGGGTGGCCGTGCTCTGGGCCGGGCTGCTCTCCGAGTGGCTCAACGTGGTCTCCAAATGGTGAGGGGCTGCAGGGGCAGCTCGGGGTTGCATGGGGCCGTACAGGGCTGCAGGGGCTGCACAGGGTTGCATGGGGCTGGAGGGGCTGCATGAGACTGCACGGAGCTGCATGGGGCTGTAGGGGCTGCATGGGGCTGGAGGGGCTGCATGAGGCTGCACAGGGCTGCAGGGGCTGCACAGGGTTGCATGGTGTTGTAGGGGCTGCATGAGGCTGCATGGGGCTGCAGGGGCTGCAGGAGCCACACAAGGCTGCACGGGGCTGCACGGGGCCATATGGGGCTGCACGGGCCCGCGTGGCGCTGCAGGGGCTGCACGAGGCTGCGCGGGATACACGCTGCAGCCGCTCAGGGCCCCGTCCTCCCGCCGCCAGGTTCCTGTTCGGCGAGCGCCCGTTCTGGTGGGTGCACGAGTCAGGGCTCTTCRAGGAGCAGCCGCTCTCGCTGCGGCAGTTCCCAATCTCCTGCGAAACGGGACCCGGTGAGTTTGGGGCTCAGCCCGCAGCGCCCTGCCATCAGCTGCAGGAGCAACCGCAGCAGGGCCTGCCCGGAGAGCGGGGCTGCCGGCCGCAGCGTCCCCAGCGCGGCGGCGCAGACCCCGGCCCCGCGGGACATGCGGAGCCGGTGGTGCCGGGCCGGGAATGCCGCCGGAGCAGCGTGCCGCCCCTCGGCCTTTCCCTGGCCGCTGTCCCGCGCTGGTGGCGCTGGCTCCGTCCCGAGGCGCCTTTACCCGCCCCGTGTCCRAGCCTGCAAACCTGCGGATCGGCTGCAGCCGGACAGGCTCCCGGTGCCGCTGCAGCCGCCCGAGGGCCGCTCAGCGCCCCGCGCTTCCCTCCGCAGGCAGCCCCTCCGGCCACTGCATGATCACYGGGGCGGCCCTGTGGCCGCTGGCCAGCGCCCTGGCCACCCGCTGCTCCGGCAGGTGAGTCCCGCAGCCCCTTCCCGGCTCCCCCGCGGGCGCCGTGCCCGAGGGTCGCGTCCCCCCCGTCACCGCGCGCTCCTTCCTCGCAGCGCCGCGCTGCGCTGCAGCCCCTTCGCCGCCTACGCGCTGCTGCTGCTGGCCGTGGGGCTGTCGCGCGTCTTCGTCCTCGCGCACTTCCCGCACCAGGTGCTCGGGGGCATCGTGGCAGGTGAGTGACGCGGGGACACGGCAGCGGTGAGGGGGACGCGCGGAGGTCCCGGCGGGGCCCGACGTGCCCGTTGCCCCCGCGCAGGGGCGGCCCTGGGCCGGGCGCTGCAGGCGCGGGCGCCGGCCACGCGCTCGCTGCGCTTCTTCGCCGGCACCGCGCTGGCCCTGCTGCTGGGCGCCGCCGCGCTGCACCGCGCCATGACCGCCGCCGGCGTCGACGTCGACTGGTGGGTCTGCACCCCGTCTTCGTGTTGGGGGGACGGCGGCGGGTGCCGCCCGCGCTCACGTCCCCGCCGCCCCCGCAGGTCCATCCGCCTGGCCACCAAGTGGTGCGCGGAGCCGTCCTGGCTGCGCCTCGACACGCGGCCCTTCACCTCCGTGTGCCGCGACGCCGGCAGCGCCCTGGGGCTGGGGCTGGCGGCGGCGGCGCCGGCGACACCGCGGCTGCCCCGGCGGCACCGCGGCGCCTGCGCGGTGGCATCGCTGCTGGCGGTGCAGCTGCTGCACGCCGCGATGCCGCAGCCGCAGCGCCTGCCGCTCTGGTACGGCGCCTGCTTCCTCAAGTACGCCGCGGGGCCCTGGCTCGTGGCCGCGCTCGTGCCCCGGCTCGTGCTCGGCCTCTTCCCGCCGCGCCGAGAGCCCCGCTCCGAGTAGCCGGCCCGCTGCTCCGCGCACCCTGGGCGGGACGAGCCGCAGGGACGGAGCGGGGCCGGGGGCCCTGGGGTGATGGGCGCCCCATGGCAGAGGGCCCGAGGCACCCGCTCCCCCAACCCTGCGCCCCATCCCCCTGCGGGACCACGGAGCCCCCGTCCCTGGCTGGGCCCCCACTGGGACACCCTGGCACCTGCCACCCAGGGACGGCAGCTGGACACGCAACGACGGTAGTTTGAAATGCAGCAAAATGCAATGAAGGTAGTTTGAAATGCAGCAAAACACAATGAAGGCAGCTGGACATGCAGTGAAGGTAGATTGAAATGCAGCAAAATGCAACAAAGGCGGCTTGCAACGCAATGAAGGCGGTTTGAAATGCAGCAAAATGCAACGAAGGCGGCTTGCAATGCAATGAAGGCAGTTTGAAATGCAGCAAAATGCAACGAAGGCAGCTTGCAATGCAATGAAGGCAGTTTGAAATGCAGCAAAATGCAACGAAGGCAGCTTGCAACGCAATGAAGGCGGTTTGAAATGCAGCAAAATGCAACGAAGGCAGCTTGCAACACAATGAAGGTAGTTTGAAATGCAGCAAAATGCAACGAAGGCAGCTTGCAACACAATGAAGGTAGGTTGAAATGCAGCAAAATGCAACGAAGGTGGCTTGCAATGCAATGAAGGCAGTTTGAAATGCAGCAAAATGCAACGAAGGCAGCTTGCAACGCAATGAAGGCAGTTTGAAATGCAGCAAAATGCAACGAAGGCGGCTTGCAATGCAATGAAGGCAGTTTGAAATGCAGCTTGCAACCCAACGAAGGCAGCTTGCAACGCAATTAATGCACCTTGCAACCCCGAGGAAGACCACTTTCAAACCCAACGAAGACAGTTCCCAACCCAATAAAGGCGTTTTCCAACCAAACAGTTATTTTTCACTCACCTGCCGTCCCCATGTCCCTCAGCCGCAGCCCCCCCGGCCGCCCCGAGCCCCCCCCAAGGCAGAGCGGCGCCCGCAGCTATTGCCAGAAACAGGTTTATTGGTACGAGGACGGACACGGGGGCCGGGTTACAAAATACTCAGAGCCAGAGGGAAGGCGCGAGCGGACGGACGGACAGACGGAGCGCGGCGGCAGGGCGGGCGGCGGGGGGGACGGTCACCCGGGGTCCCTCCTGCCCCCCGCGCCGGGGGTGACGTGGCCAAGCCCCCCCCCAGCTTTAGGGTAACCCCACTGGGGKCCTGCATGGGACCCTCCAGCCCCAGGTTCAAATCCCAGCGCTGGAGGGTCCCTGTCCCCTTCCTCCCACTAAAGGGGCTTGGGGGGGGCACTCCAAAATGCCCCGGAATAACTTATATTGCAAAGCGCCGTTTCCAGCCTCGCTGCCCCCCAGCGCCGCCCGCCCTGASGACCAGCGGCCGGTGCAATCCATTAAAAAAATACTATTAAATAAGACATCTGTAATAAAATTATATACCTTTGTTTCACTTTTTTTGTGTTTTTTTTTYYTTTTTTTTTYYCTCTCCTCTTTCAAAGCTAAAATCGCTCCAAGTCCCATTCAGCTGGTGAAGTAACAGGAAAAGAAAGTGGGTTTTTTTTTACTTTTTTGTCTTTTTTTTCTCTTTTTTTTCTGTTTTTATATGAACGGACAAAGTTTCATGGCAACAAACACGGCGGGATCCGTCGCTGGTCTGTGCGCACGAGACGAGAAACCCAGTTATTTACAGCGAGACGAGGCCCCCGGGCAAGACCCGACCCCCCCTCCCCAAAAAAACGACCCTCGGGGGACATGGGGACACAAGGCCCCCCCCACCGGCGCCTCCCTCCGAGCCGGGAACGGGGAGGAAAGGGATAAACCAACCAAGAGGGAAACCAAGGAACTCAAAATCACGGGGAAATTAAGGCATGAACAAAAACGACTTAATAAAGGCACGAATCCATCCCGGAGGGGTCGGGCTGCGTCCCGGCGGAGACGCGCGGCCAAGGAGGAAGCCCCGGGGGTCGCGTTCGGAGACGGAGGCGGGAGACGGGAGGAAAAGCAGCGGGAGAGGGGGAAGCGCCCGGGGACGCGCGAGGAAGGCCGTGAGGAGGAGGAGGGCCGTGAGGAGGCGACGCCGACGGCAGCGAGGAGCCGAAGCAGCGGGCGGGCGCCCGGCCAGGCGGGGATGCTGGTGGAACCGGAGGCTGCACAAGAGACACAACCGCAAACACCGCGGGGAGCTGGAGGCCGACAGGACGGGGTTTTTTTTTTCTCCTCTTTTTAATAGAAAAAAAGAAAATATTTCTCCTTTTTTTTTTTTTTTTTTTTTTTTTTCTCCTTTTTTTTTTTTTTCTTTTTTTTTTTTTCTTTTTTTTTTTTTTTTTGGGTTTTTTTTTTTTTTTTTTTTCTCCTTTTTTTTTGTTTTCCTCTTGTCTCCCCTCTCCCTGTGTTTCTTTTCAGGAACGGAAATCAAACAGAGCGGGTGGCGCCGAGGCCCCCGGGCGCGGGGGGGACGCGCAGGTCACAGCACCGGCTCGGCCTCCATCGGCTCCTCCGCGGCCCTGGGGACAGACGGGATCCCCATGGGATGCGCGGGCACCCCGCAGGGACACGCACAGCTCCGTGMACGGACGCAGGGAGCATCCCCACGGGAACGCAACAGTCATGCGCAGCGGCGCGCACGCGCTGCAGGAAGGAGCATCCCCAGGGAAGCGCATGGAGCTCCGTGCACAGCCCGGAGGGATGGGAGCCCCATGGGAATGTGATGGCCACATGTAGCTCCATGTAGAGCCCAGGGCGATGAGTATCCCTACAGGAGCGCATGCAACCCCATGCAGAGCCCAGATCCACAGGGCATTCCATTGGGAGCGGGTGCAGCTCCATGCAGAGCCCAGAAACATGGGACATCCCCCCAGGAATGCGTGCAGCTCCATGCAGCACCCAGAGTGATAGGTATCCCCATGGGA